GTAGTCCTCGTCTTGCAAGCACGATTGAGCCCCAAATTTCTGTTGCTAAGCGAGACAGTTAAGTGAGTTTTGCCCCATTTTACGACCTTTCTTGCCACAGTCGTTAAGGGAACCACTGCAGTTGTTAAATTAGTAACCGGATTGTTAAGTGAATCTGGCTTTCCCATTGACTTTGCTTGTCAAAAGATCGCAAAAAGTAAACAAGAGGACCCCAGGACACTGCAACCGTCATAACTATGAGCCAAATGCTAAGTGTTCGAATTTTGATCAGGTGACCATGGGAATGTGGCAACGGTTGTGAGTGCGAAAAACAGTTTGGGTTAAACATGCTTTGGGATCAGATTCACTCTCATGCTTCAGCCTCAGTCAAGATGTCTTTTTATCCAATTAAAACTTTAAAACTTGGGCTTTTTTTTCTTTAACATTCAGTTCAAGCCTTCTGACAGCTGAGGAGGAAAAAAAGATTAGTGATCCCACAAGGGGATCAAAAATGTGCTCCTTATCCATCCAACCTCATAGAAGAAAGTCACCAGAAAGGGAAAACTACTCTGCATAAATTGGGGAATACTTCTTAGGTGCTCACCAAATCACTAAAAGTACAGGTAGACCTCAACTTATGACCCACAATTGAGCCCAAAATTTCTGTTGTTAAATGAAAAATTTGTCAAGCAGAGAAAAATTTCTATCATCTCACAGACCCAAGGAGTGTGGTTACACCATGTTCCCAGGAGTGGCTGCTCCTGGTTTAAAGCCAGGAATCAACAGAGGAAAACAAGTGGAAGCATCCAGTGGGTGAGAAGGAACAGGAAACAGAGCAAATGAAGGATTTTAGAAATAAGACAGAAATGAAGTTGGTTCAAATTTCAGAACAAATTTCAACTCTTTTCAGAGACTTAGATCAAGCCACACCTTGCTAAGATCTTGTCCTAAATTCCTTTAAGACAGATACTATTCATAGGGGAGAAAAAAAGTTGTGCTTAATTTTGATTTGGATTTTTTTTCCCTCTGCAAAGAAAGCTTCTGTTTTTCTCCCTTAGGTGTTGAGAACATCTTTTCATTCTCGGTGGCATCTTCCAAATTGTAGATGAGAATCCCTGTTGCTGACCATGTTTTCTGTCTTTAGCAGTCTGAAATTTCACTGACCCTTCCCCACATTAACAAAGCCCAGTGGAAGGTATTCCTTCTTCAGTGGTTTTAATTGAGGCATGAGAAATTGGAGAAGCTGTAAACGTCATTGTATGTGCATGGGAAGATAGCATAAGCTTACATATCTCTTGCTATCAAATAAGTACGGTAAGTAATTGCAAAAACGCTTCTCCCCATTTCTCAGTCTCTTTACTGTAAATCTTTACTGCTTTGGATGGAATTGCTTTTTCATCAGACTGAAGAACACTTAGATGGATCTCCAAAAAGCTAAGCAGAACCAAAGTCCTGTTTAGTGCTTGGACAGGTGACCACTATGAAATCCCAGGCCCAGCAAGCTAGACTGGAAAGCTGACAAAACAATGCAGAAGGCAGCAGTGGAAAGCCATGTCCATATTACTGCCAAGAACACAGCACAGGGATGTTTATGAAGCCACTAAGAGTTGATTTTAATTCAAAGCTTTCACTGAAAAAAAGCAAGACTTTCCTGCATAGCCTTAGGACAGTGGTGGCGAACTTACGGCACAGGTGCCAGAGGCGGCACTCAGAGCCCTCTCTGTGGGCACGCACGCCATTGCCCCAGTCCTAGGGCTTCAGCTGGGTTTTATAAAATCTTTTTGCTTTAGGCCTCCGCCACCGTGTACAAAAAAAAAAAGGTTCAATCAGTCAATTTCAACTTCTCGCAGGAAAAAAAAATCTTGCAACGTTGGAATTGATTGAACTTTTTAGTCCCACCCAGTCTGCCGTTACCACCGCAGCCACGCCCACCCAATTGGCCACACCCACCCAGCACTCAACGATGCATAAGTGGGTTTTGGGTTGCAGTTTGGGCACTCAGTCTCTAAAAGGTTCGCCATCACTGCCCTAGGAGAAAAAAAATGACTTCAGAGATACAGGCATTAACATTCTAATGACCTGTTTTGGGTTGCTCACTTGTGTCCAACCTCATAGAAGAAAGTCACCAGAAAGGGAAAACTACTCTACATAAATTGGGGAACAATTTTTAGGTGTTCACCAAATCACTAAAAGTACAGGTCAACTTATGACCACGAATAAGCCCAACATTTCTGTTGTTAAGTGAGAAATTATCCCATTTTATGACATTTCTTGCCACAGTTGTTAAGTGAATCATTGCAGTTGTTAAGTTACTAACACGGTTGTTAACTGAATCTGGCTTCCCCATTGACTTTGCTTGTCAGAAAGTCGTAAAAGGTGATCACATGACTTTGAGACACTGCAAACTGTCATAAATATGAGTCAGTTGCCAAGCATCAGAATTTTGATCACGTGACCATGGAGATGTTGCAGTAGTCGTAAGTGTGAAAACTGGTTGTAAGTAGAGGATCACTTGTAGTGACATTTTGCTCATGCATTTCAAGATGATGAAATTTATTCATTTCTGATAATTTACTGTTTCACACGTCCTAGCCAAGGATGCCTGGTTAAAGGTATTTCTGCAAATTGCTACTCTCTCTTTCTCAGGGATTAGCTCCTTCCATCACTTCTCTAAGAACAAACACACTCTAAATCTGGCACACACAAAAATAATAAAGCCTTTCGTATGACCCACCAAGGCTCCTAAGAAAACCCAAACTAATGGTTCTGCTTCCAAGTCTAATTTGAACCCTCTCCATATTGTGGCTTCCTATTTCTCTTAGCATTTTCCATTTACTGTAAATAAATCTAGCCTTTGCAAAAGCCAGATTAAGTATGTTGGCATCAAATATGCTAATTAGTAGATGTCAAAACATTTCAGTCTCTCAAATGTATTGTTCTACTAATGGTATTGACCTTGAAACTGTGAATCATATTTTATTGCATATTGCATATTGCATAAGTTTTACAAAAGTTTTTGGCAGAGTATTATCTGGCCTTGTTAAACTCAAGGCCAGGAAAGATATTTCTGAAAAATGTTTTATTCTCAGCTAAACATCCTAAAATTACAGGGTCAACAGCCACATTTTAACTACAGCTATAAAAACAAGGCCTTTGCTAATAAATTAACAGATTTGAAATGCTTTATGTAATATCTCTGGAGGTATTTAATTTGTTTATTTGTTATCTTACATCAAACTTTTTAATCATATCTGTACTTTTGTTATTGGAGACTTTCGGCTATGTAATTATAACCACAACAATAATAATGTGGCTGAATCTACTGAATATTGTGGCTTTTATATAGATGAAATAATACTGTACTATAAGAAAAGAAAACAAAAGAGAAGGTGCTTTGGGAAAGTAATGTGGCTCCAGAACTAGTTTAAACATTGAATTTTAACAGATCAACAGATTTCAAGGACCTTGAATTCTGTAAAGAAATTGTCCTTTTCAACAAGGTTTATCCAAGCCAGATGTGATCAAAACATTTCAGGATGAAGAATATGGGAAAATTACAAAACATGGGTATTTTTAGGCATCTATCTATCTATCTATCTATCTATCTATCTATCTATCTATCTATCTATCTATCTATCTATCTATCTATCTATCTATCTATCTATCTATCTATCTATCTACCTACCCACCTATCTATCTATCTATCTATCTATCTTTATAGACCCAATCTAGCCAGCAGCTTTGGGAGGCATACAAAAATTATGTGCCATCAAGTCATTTTTGATTCGTAGCCACCTCACAAATTTTCTCCATGAGGCTTGCAAAAGGAAATTAATAGCAAATATCTCAGCAATTTAAAAAGCCTCAAACTATAAAGCAAAATAATTGCAACAAAATAATAGCAGAAAACAAGAGGAAACAGATATGTATCTTTATTTATTCTAAGCCTCTTAGGCCTGCTGAAATAAAATTGTTTGAGTAAAAGGAAAGTACGGGGTCAATCATGGCGTGAGGGGGAGAGCATGTTGCATAGGTGGGAAGGCATAAAAAGGTTTGTCTGCCATTCCAAACTTCCCAGACCTGCTGTTGGGAGGCATTTGCAGCAGGACCCGTTGCTCAGTGTTCAAACTGGACAGGCAGCCTCAGACTGGACAGGTGGTCCTGATGCTGCCAGGTGACAAACTGTGTTAAGGCTTTCTAGATGATCACCAGATGTTGGTTTTGGACTTGAAGCCAAGTAGCAACAAGCACAGCAACAATAATACCAATATCACTGTTTTAGTCACTAGAAAAGCAGAATATAAATCTGTTGCAGAATGATCTCGATTCCACCAGCAAAAGAAAGCTCAGAGCGTGGCCTCCTTACCCAGCCCTTCAATCACAGATTTCTTAAATCACACCTATCCTTCAAAAAAATACAAGGTTGCCAACCATTCCGGGTTCTTTTGGGCTCCCCACAACCCAGTGAGGTAGTTTAACTGAGAGTAAGTCAAAGTTGCTCATCTGATACTGATTTTGTTGCTACGCTCGTTTGCACTCCCTACTTCGCTTCACTTTTGTTCTCGGCCGAAGCCACCCAAGAACAGAGTTCCAACATTCCGAAATAGAACGTTCCTAAGTTTCCTGACGGAACATTTCAACGTTCAAGCTTCCAAATTAGAAAGTGGAAGGAGCGCAAGACTCCAAATTAGAAAGTGAAAAGAGAGCGCCTCTTTAGCCCACTTTTAACCGTAGCCGACGCCCCCAAAACCTATGTTCAAGCACCAGCCAGGAATTCTAGGGAGCAAATCCCCTTTGCTTCTTTGGGGCTGAGGCAGCTAAACCCAGAGGCAGGAAAGACGGCTTCTTAATTCCACCGAGCCCCCCTTTCCCTTTTTAATGGGATGCGCCCGGCCCCCACCCTCTCTCAGGGCGCGGCGCCACACCTCCGCCAGGGCACACGGAGAAGCGCCTCTCCAAAGTCGTCGCCGTGCGCCCAGGGCGCACCTGGCCGCGACAGCCTCCCTGCCACCAACTCTCACCCGATTTCTGACTTCCGCAGACAAGCCGTAGCTGGGGCCCTTGTTGAACTGGTTACTGCTCATCCTCTTCCGGAACAGGACGGAATCTCCAACGAAGGCGAGACGCGCTCAAGATCGTCTCAGCGGGCCGCCACTTTCCGCGCCTCCTTCTTCTTGCCCGAAGTTTTGGGGCCAAGAGAGCGCCGCCTCCCTCTTGCTGATTGGCCAGGAGTTGAAATAGCCTTATAAGGGCACAAAGAGCCGAATTCCTGAAGGATGGGAGTTTCCTGTGTGGGTCTTTTCCAGAAACCCCAAGTGTCCTGGGCATCCCCTCCCTCTAAATTAAATCCAAGTGGTCAAGGCAGTTCTCTTTCTCCTCCCGTCGGTACCCGGGTTGGCCGTTTTTTTCAATAGATGTGGCGATAGGCAGAGATTCAACAGGTTTCTTTCACTAAAGCCGCGCTGTTTGGGATCCTAAATGCGGGATTTGGGCAGCTCGTTCCCCGTTTCGCCTCCATGGAGCTCCTTGTCCTGCATCCCTATAGTAGCTGCCTTAGCACAAGTTATCGCAAGAGTAACTGAAACATGATTTACTCAATCTATCCAACTGACTGGGTTCACCCAACCCCGAGGACCAGAAACTAAATATAATGTGGGCTCAAACAGTGCACTAAGCTATATTTGCACAATGCGCTGACACTTCAACTAGCAACTACATTTTAATCTGGTATGTTGTACAAACCCAGCCCTCTGGTCTAGTGCATAGTTCTGTGGATTATCCGAATCCAGAAACTTGAATTTATTGAATAAACATGATGCTATTATCATTGGTTGCACAATCAGCCAGATGTTTAGGCTGCATTTGACATTTTTATCCATCTGTCTAGTCTTTCTCAAGGACCTATGATAAGCAGAAATTGTTTGTGGTGTTAAAAATTACATCCTTGCAGGATGTCAGCTGTTCCAAGTAAAGCTCCCTTTTGCAATTGACTGGTGAGGATTTTGTCATTATTAATGGTGTTTAAGTTCAAGGCTGAGGATTTCTGGGAGTTGATGTCCACAAATCTTAAAGTTGCCAAGTTTGGAAACCCCTGCCATAAAGGGCTAAGGGTTATGACTAAGATTTCCATGCAAACACAGCTACTAAGCCACAAACTCATTGATCACACTTTATGCAGAGCAAAAGGCTGTTTTCTAGATGCACAAACCATGAACCCATTTCCCACTGTTTGGGCATTTATTTATTTAAATGAATTTGTATCACCAATCATCTCACAAACGTAACTCTCAGAGGCTAACAAATTTAAAACCTTACAAACCAACAAAGCAATAACCAAGAACAAAGCCAACTTAATGTAGCCACTGAGAAAGCCACCAACCCTCTAGAACTCACCTAGTATCCCAAACAATATGCCAATGAAAACACCCAGGTGCTAAGTATTTTCTGAAATATTAACAAAGTTGGGCTCACTTAATCTCAGGTGGGATGGTGTTCCAAAAGGCAGATATTGTGACAGAAACTTTCTGGGTCCTACAAGATTGCTTTGCCTAATTAATTAAAGTTCTTAACAGTGAGGACAATTAACCAATACAACAGCTTGCCTTCAGAAATTGTGGGTGCTCCAACACTGGAGGTTTTTAAGAAGAGTCACTTGTCTGAGATGGTATAGGTCACTTGTCTGAGATGGTATAGGTTCTCCTGCTTGAGTGGGGGGGCTGGACTAGAATACCTCCAAGGTCCCTTCTATTCTATTCTATTCTATTCTATTCTATCCCATGGAATGACCCTCGTGCCAGATCTCATGACACAGGTAAAGGGAACTAGAGAAAGGCAATCCCAATTAACCCAGTCCAGTGCCATGTTCCACTTGAAGTCAATATTGATTCCCAGTGACTACAACGACATGGCCATGCAGTTTTCTTGGCCACATTAACAGAAATGGTTTGCATTTACAAAAATGGTTTTCTAGGGCTGAAAAAATGGTCCAAAGCTGCTTAACTGACTTTCTGCTTGACGTAGGACTCAAACTCAAGATCTTATAGTTCAGGGGCCCCAACCTGTGAGCTGAGGCCTACTAGTGGGCCCTGAGGGGATTGCAACGGAGCCGTGGAAACAGCTGGTGACCGTATGCTCACACACACACACATCCTCATTTGTGTTAGCAACGGGCGAGTGCGTGCCCGCTCCATTTGCTTGAGTGGCAGGTGCGCTGCATGCCACTTCTGCAAATGGAGCTGCGCACAAGTGCTTGCCAGCCACTTGTGTGAACTATGCCCCCTCCCCTTGCCGGTCCTTAAAGCCATAAAAGTTCTGGCTTTAGTTTATAACTCAGTGCCTTTAACTACAGGTAGTCCTTGACTTATGACCATAATTGAGCCCAAAGTTTCCATTGCTAAGCAAGGCAGTTGTTAAGTGAGTTTTGCCCGGTTTTATGACCTTCTTTGCATAGTTGTTAAACAAAACACTGCAGTTACTAGCAGGGTTGTTAAATGACTCTGGCTTCCCCATTGACTTTGCTTGTCAAAAGTACGCAAAAAGTGATCACATGATCCAGGAGCACTGCAACCATCATAAAACTCTCATAAAGCATCAGAAGGCAAGACAAGAAAAAATGGATGGAAACTACTCAAGGAGAGAAGCAACTTGGAATTAACGAGAAACTTCCCAGCAGTGAAGACAATTAACCAGTCCCTTCCAGCTCTATTCTGATTGATTGAAATACATGCCAGTTGCCAAGCGGCTGAATTTTGATCACATGACCGTCGGGATGCTTCAATGGTCATAAACAGGAAAAATAATCATAAGTAACTTTTTTCAGAACTGTTGTAACTTCAGACGGTTACTAAATGAATGGTTTAAGTCAAGGACTACCTGTACTACACCAAATAAGCTTTATACTTTAAATATATACATTATGATAAAACATAAGCCATGTTAGAAACCACAATTAATTCTACAACCTGATACACCAGAATTAAGCAAATCACATTATAGTTTAAAACAATATAGATCTACCAATCAAATAATTAGAATTCTTAATATTAGTAAAGATTAAATAGTAATATTAGTGGAAGTCAGATAAAATACACACACACACACACACACACACAAAACCTCTTTAAAAAACTTTGTACTGTGAACTATTTAATGTAATTGTATTTATTTTAGGTCTTGGTTTGGAAACAGCTCTTATCTCTTTGGGGAAGTGTGTGGCACACAAAACTGCTAAGGAAACAATACTTTATTTTAAATTTAAATTGAGGTTTTATGAAGTTTACTTTTTTGTATTTTGTTTTATTATATGCACCACTCAGAGTCACTATGCAAGACGGGCGGCTGTACAAATACAATAAATTTATTTATTTGTATCCTGCCTTTATTATAAATAAATCTTGCAAGAAGTGAAATTTTTTTGGAAATTCCTGCAGTGTAAAGGTAACTGATTACCGGTATATCTGAAAGAATACATGTATGTATGTAGATGGCTATGCATTCATCAATTTTTTCAGTCTGGATTACAATATCTTTGTCCTTCCATGGGAAATCTTTGAGAACCAATTCCTGACCTGAGTCACTTTTGCAAGATCTTTCTTTTCCTTCTGTGTGATTTGCCTGCTTCAGATGCCACAACAGTGACATCATGTGGGTCAGGAATTCAAAGCCTCATGGTTGCTGGGATGAGGTAATGGGGTGCAGGGTTGGGTGGGGGTGGGGGGCTGTCTGGTGAGGCTAAGCCTTTTTGCATCACTCACTACTGCCTGAGGGAAAAGTCTTTTATGCAGCTTCTGAATTCTTAAGAACTGAATGCATTTCCTTGCCTTGGTCCTCTGCAAATATATTGCACAGCCCAGGGATGTCTAACTATTCAGAAGCAAGATTTGCATAAGTTTCCCCGCAATTAATCAAATGAATGTTCTGGAATGGATGACACAGGCAAGCTGGATTTCAGCAGAGTTAATTTCAGCTAGGTTCAGAGGAGTGTTAGACAGGATTACCTGAACAAAAATCATGAAGTCAAATGGAGCACAGAAGGGTTTGAAATGTCTCATGCACAGGTAGATTTCAGTTCAACTGCATGTTAAAAGAAGGAAGGGGTAAAGGAAATGGCATTCAGTTCTTAAGAATTCAAAAGCTAGGATCACTGAGTTGGTTTACCACACAAAGGGAGGGGTGGATCCATTGCTGGAAGATATAAGGGTACTAACAGATCCGACACAGGTAGTTCTTGACTGGGCTCAGAATTTCCACTGCTAAGCAAGACAGTTGTGAGTTTTTGTCCCATTTTACAACCTTTCTTGCCACAATGGCTTCCCCATTGACTTTGCTACTCAGAAGATCTTGACTGACAACCATTTGTTTAGCAGCTGTTCAAAGCTACAACAGCACTGAAAAAAGTGACTTATGACAGGTCCTTGCACTTACAACCATCACAGAATCCCCATGATCACATGATCAAAATTCAGGCACTTGACAAATGGCATGGATTTATAATGGCTGCACTGTCCCAGGGTCATGTGATCACCATTTGTGACCTTCTCAGATGGCTTCTGACAAGCAAAGTCAATGGGGAAGGCCAAATTTGCTTAGCAACCTCATGATTTGCTTAACAACCGTGGCAAAAAAACCCTTGTAAAATCTGGTAGAACTCAGTCAATCTTTGCCCCGCTCAGCAATGGAAACACAATTGTGTTGTAAGTTGAGGATTATCTGTACATACACACAATTACGCAACTGTAGATTTCAGATTGTTGTTAATTTTGATAATTGTTTTTGTTTATTCTCTTTCCCTTTTAATGTTTTCTAATAATACGTTCTATTATTTTTGTTCCTTTTTTCCCTAAGGTTTTATTTTTGGTAGCTTATATAAGGTTTTTTATTTCTCATTTTTCCTAAGTATACAGATTATTATATAATAGGCTAGAGCTTCTTTCCCTTCTAAAAAGTATATTTTATACATTTTAATGATTATATAGCTTATATAATTTACATATGAATATATAATGCCTTTTAAGAAATATTATAATATTTAAATGACCTCTACAATTTATTCCAGTCAGATTGACCAAAGCAATTCTCAATTATGCTGTTTTATTCAGATAAAG